GAAGCCGGGGCGTGGAGTAGGGGGGGCACGGAAGAGACGAAGTCCCTTCCGAGCCCCCCCTACTCTGCACCCCGGCCCCCGTACGGATGATTTTCCGGCTGAGAGGAGGGAAGGGACACCGGGGGTGGAAGGAGGCGTGTGGTGACCAGAGCCACAGGCCTCGTTACCATGGCAATGCAGCCAAGCTGGGGGGACCAGGCCCCATCCTCCCAAAAAAAAAACCCAAAAAATCCTTTTTTTCCTTTCCTCTCGCACCTTCTGGCAGCTCAGGGGCGTGCCAGGTGTTGGTGGCGTTTGTGCTTAAGGAGAAGGAACTAAAGGACAGCTCAGCCCTGGAAATAAGGGCTTAGAACTGTGCGTGGGGGTTAAAGGATACCCTTGGATAATCAAGGTAACGCCAGCAGCCTCTAGCCCCTCTATAACACGTTCTTGAAACCCTCTCAGCATTGTCTGTATCATAAGTAAGAAGCACAACTGACTCCAGGGACATCCTGGAGGACAAGAAGGACATGGAGCTGTTGGAGCGGGTCCAGAGGAGGCCACGAAGATGATGGGAGGGCTGGTGCACCTCTGCTATGGAGACAGGCTGAGGGAGTTGGGGCTGTTCAGCCTGGAGAAGAGAAGGCTCCGGGGTGATCTTATTGCAGCCTTCCAGTACCTGAAGGGCCTACAGGAAAGCTGAAGAGGGACTTTGGACAAGGGCGTGTAGTGACAGAACACGGGGCGATGGCTTTAAACTGAAAGAGGGGAGATTTAGATTAGATCTAAGGAAGAAATTTTTCCCTCTGAGGGTGCTGAGGCACTGGCACAGGTTGCCTAGAGAAGTTGTGGCTGCCCCATCCCTGGCAGTGTTCAAGGCCAGGTTGAATGAGGCTTTGAGCAACCTGGTGTAGTGGAGGGTGTCCCTGCCTGGATGATCTTTGAGGTCCCTTCCCACCCAAACCAGTCTATGATTCTATAAGTAAGGAGCACGACTGTCTCCAGGAACATCTGGATCAGAAAGGAACAAGAACATTGGAAAAATGTGGTTGGTTTGTAAAGTTGTGCCATGATCGGTAATCATCAGCAGCGGTGGTAGTGATTAGTCAGATTACGTTGTGTCTGAGCATTTGGAAGACGTAAAACCACACTCAGGTGCCCCAGTTTGACTGGGGCACATCATGCATGAATAAATATTTACCCTTGGAATTCCATGCTTTGCGTCCTAGCCTCTCTCCTCGCTCAGCACGGCCCGGTGGCGTATTTCCCGCAGCATGTACCTGAGGAGCATTGTCCGTGCCCCTTCCCTGCTCCATGCCGGGACCCGGCAGCACCCGCAGGGGTTAACTCGGCGGAGGCGATCCGGATGGTGCCGTTACAAAGCTGTGATCTTTGAGGAGAGCGGGGTGCTCCTCCCGGCCCCCTACAAGACAGCCACGGGTGCGTATTCCCATTTCCCGTGTGCTCTTGTTTCTGTGCATGGAGGAAAAATAAACGTCAGTGTCCCCGTCAGCTGTCTCTGGTTCTGGTACCGCATCAAGAACTCAGAAGAGCAACGGAACTGGTGAAGGGTTTGGAGAACTTGTCCTATGAGGAGTGGCTGAGGGAGCTGGGACTGGTCAGTCTGGAGAAGAGGAGGCTCAGGGGGGACCTTCTTGCTCTCTACAATTACCTGGCAGGAAGTTGTAGGGAGATGGGGGTCGGGCTCTTCTCCCACGTTATGAATGACAGGATGAGAGGGAATGGCCTCAAGTTGCGCCTGGGGAAATTTAGGTTGGATATCAGGAAGAATTTCTTTCCAGAGAGGGTTGTGAAGTGTTGGAACAGGCTGCCCAGGGAGGTGGTGGAGTCCCCATCCCTGGAGGTGTTTAAAAACCATGTGGATTTGGTGTTGAGGAACATGGTTTAGGGACCCTGACAGTGCAGGGTGAATAGTTGGACTCGATGATCTTGAGGGTCTCTTCCAACCAGATGATTCTATGATTCTATGAACTTGCATGGTGACGGTGGTACCCCGTTGTGCCATCAGAAGTACCAGAACTGACAGCTCCAGATCGGGGCCTGAACCCATCTGGTAGTGAAACTGTCCTGTAACGACACCGGCTGGTGCCACCCAACGTTGGTACAGCCCTTCAGGGCACTTCGAGAGCTCTGTAGCTTCACCCCGAGGGTACCACACCAAAAATGGAGGTGAGGTGCTTCAGCTGGGGGAATACCCAGACTTCTCACCGTGTCTGGGTAAATTACCCCAGTCCACCACATCGGTTCTTGGGAGTGCTGGTTGATGTATCAGGCTTCAGAAGGGTTTCAGGCTGGTTTCCCAGTTCTGATGATGCCATGCATGCTCTCTCCTGGCTTTCTTTTCTCTGTATAGACTGGGAGGCCCAGAACTGTATTCCAGCTGGCACCATCCAACAAGCCATACTCTCTGGAGGGGAAAACAGTCCCTCTCTGAAGTACACAAGAGGAGAGCTGACAGCTGTGGAGTTTTTGCAGGAATTGGGACAGCTGTGCTTTGAGATTGTAAGCCAACTCCCCCTTCCCCTCTCTGTGCTTCCTGACTGCAGGGAATGGGAGCTTTTAAAAGGAATGCAGTGATGGAAGGGTCTGGATTTATCCTCTAGGAAGCATTGCTGTCTGGTCAGGGCAGACTTTTCGCTGCCATCGTCATTCTGGTACCCAGGCAGGATGGTCAGCTGAATTTGCCTTTACTTCCATCAGCCACTTCCTGCATATTTCCTAACTTTTTTATTTCAAGACGCCTCTAGGATCAGCTGAGATGAGAAGTCAGAGAGCCAAAGATGAGCTGAAAGGCTTTTGCTGCTAGTTCTTAAGTGGGCATGCTCCATGTATGGAGGCCACAGACTCCAGGGAGTGTTCTTAAAACCAGTAGAAGCCCCTCCACAGCAGCTCCAGGAACATGGTGCAAGAATCCTCTTTGGAATAAAGTCTTTTTGGAGCAGCTCAGTCCAAAATGCAGATTCCTTTCCTGACGGTTGAATGGTAAAGCAGCATTTATCTCTAAGCCGCCTTGATTCCGTGGCAGGCACAGTCCTAGTGCATTTCTCCTTCCCAAAATCAGCCCCTTATCTCTACTGCTGCTTCTATGGAATTAGTGATGTGAGAACGCTTCTTTCTTTGGTCTGAGCAATTCAGCTGGGAGATCCACTGACTGCCTTCTGCTGCCAGAGCAAGTAGGACAGCAAGATAAGATGATCTGAAAACCTACACACCCAACCACTCTTGTTTTCTTCCCTGCTTAAAAACCATTTATGGCTAATTATCATTCTTGGGGTTTTCTCTGGTTTCTTAGGCAAATGTCTGTGTTCCAGAGGACTCTTTTCTCTCGGACTTGATCAGAAAGGAGATGATGAAACAGCTCCCCATAATGGCAGAAGCAGTACAGTGTATCCGTGCAGAAGGCCTTAAGACAGCTCTTGTAAGGAGCAACCGCTGCCTGCTGAAAGGAGAGAGCTTTGTGCCCCTGGACCGAAAACACTTCGATGTGGTAAGCCTCGGTGGATTCCAAAATGCCGTTCTGTAGCTAGGTCTGTAGAAAGCTGCAACTGAAATTCTGTAGGTGCAGGGTGCCAGAGGAATGGCAGCCAGAGTCACGTGTTAGTAGACAGAAACGTTACAGTCTGTGAAAACGTCTCCTGGCACGATTTGGTGTAGGGACTGAGCCTGGAGAGGGTCTGAGGGAGCGGCAGGTACTCCTGCATTTGAAAATTCATTGCAAAATGCCCACACGACCACGAGTGTACGTGTGACAGACATGGCTAGCCATGTCGAAACAGGACTTGGAAGCTGGAATACTGTACAAGAAATAAATGCTATTACCCGGGGCACTTGCTTGCTTTGTATTTAGTCCTTACTCTTTGAAAGCTTGTTTCATCTCAAATAATTGCAAAGCATCCCTCATACTAGAGAAATCCTGCCAGGACACGTCGATCCGTCTGAGCCGATGGACAGGCAGAGACCCCTCTCCCAGCAGCTCTGCTTGTGCAAAGATGAGGCAGAAGATTAGCCGTGAAACTCGAGCCTGGTTTGGGTGGCTTCCCTTTAACGGGCAGCTATGAGGACTCAGCTCAGCATGGCAGAAAATTTGCTTTTTTGTGTGCCCCAGCTCACGTCTTTGGATTTCAGGAGTTTATTCGTGACTGAAGGTTGTTTTATAGTCTCCATTGAGACAACAAAACACGCAAAGAAGAGTCCTATGGATACATGTAAAACCTGGGACTGTTTAAAGTCACCTCGTCGACATTATGTCACTACTGACTCAGTTTTCTGTGCCTTATACTGGTGACACCAGTGCCTGTGATGTTTGCTTCGTGGGCTGATGCTCTGCTGTGATGCTCTGTGGTACCTTTCACCCCAGGCTGTTTCAAAGCACTGTAATAACCATGGCCTATCCGGTGTCATCACTCCTGCAGTGTGGCTCTTCCGTACCAGCAGGCAACAGCACTGCACAGTAATTAGTGGGAAAGAAAAAAAATGGAATGTGGATTTCCATTAGGATTGGTTTTTGTGTCTATCTAATAGATTCGTTTCTGTTCTGAACACCCTACAGCAGTGCAGAGTGAAATATTACTTGAGTTTTTTGTGGTTTTGAGGACAGTGCAAGTGTTCAGAGACTGACTCAGGTTTTTTTGGTGCAAATCTGGGCAGATGATTATGGTCAACGTCTCTGCTGCCAGGAAGATCGCTTTGGCGTGGCTGATAGGTGCAATGGTCAGGACTTTTCCAGATCGTTGGGAAGGTGGTGCAATCCAAGGCTTTCTTGGACAGCACCGAGCAATTGGTTCAGAACAATCTGTGAGTCTCCCACATTGATGAGTCTCTTTGGATGTCTTCCATCCAAGGACTGGCTGATCCTGTTTAGCTTGTTTGAGCTGACAGAGCCACAGCCAAGCAGTTGGTGCCCACGCAGCCACCTGAATCACGTCCTGTCCAGCTCTGCCAGCCCTCCATTCCCCGTGTTCTTTATTTCACGCCTTACACTGTCAGTATCTTTCCCACTCTCCATCCTCCATTTCCAACACCGTGCAGATGTTTGTGGTCACAGTAGGCTCATGCATAATCCATTTGTTGTTGCCACAGATGATGGAATCTTACTGGGAAGGAATGCACAAGCCCAGTCCTCGTCTCTACAAGCTGTGCTTGGAGCGCATGGGCGTTCAGCCCCGCGAATCCATCTTCCTGGACAACAGCAGCCAGAACCTAGAAGCAGCAGCCCAGCTTGGCATTACCACGGTGAAGGTACACAGCAATGCAACCCGGGCAGGCTTTGGGTATGGTTTCTAAATCCAGAAGCTGTGTTTGACTTGAATGGCTCAGGATTTTCAGTTGCAGTTGCAGACTCCTGTTGCCAAGGCTTTTGTTTCAGCCCATACTTATTCCTGCAGGATGTGCTGGGCTTAAAGGGGAGGATTAGTGGCAAAGTCTGCACTGGCCTGTTTCATTCCCAGCTCTGAACCCTGCAGCCAGTGTAACCTCGGAGAAGTCACTTCTTCATGGACCTCAGTTCCCTATTAGAGAAAGAGCCCTAACTGCATGGTTGAGACAACCACATCCATCTGATGTGAGAAAACAAGACATATTTAATAAGTTTCTAGAAGCTCTGAGACTTCAGGGATATGTCAGCTGGGGACTGACTCGTTAACAGCCCCCAGGCTTTGGAGATAGTGAGCACAGGAGTTTTTGGGGAGGGGACCACTGGGGGAAGGACAAGCACAGGACTGGTGGGACGAATGAACTCTGCTCCCCTGGACTGCACACAGGGAATTCCAGCTTTTAGCCCAGCCCAAGCTCAGAGTGCCTATGCCACTGTAACAGGGACGTCTCCAGGACAGAGACCAAGGTGGGAGGCTTAGCAAATATTGGTAATGGTACTCTGTGCTGGCAGGGACTGACCACTGAATTCCTGCGTGTCTTAGTGGATCGATGCTGCCGGACTCACAGATTAATGCAACTCATGTGTGCAGAGCTCTTTCTTTCCCAGGCAATTTTACCTTCCAACTATCATCCAGTGTTTCTCCCTCCCTCCTGCTTTCAGGTTGACGATCCAGAAGTTGCATTCAAAGAGCTGGAAACCTACCTGGGTTTTCCTTTGCAAGGGTTTGTTCCATATACTTGTTCAGTGAGACCAAGCATGGAAATCCCAAAAAATCATCTGCAAAACTACCTCGAAAACGTTCTCAGTGACCAGGCAACAGGTATTGCAGTGCTTTTTGCTCTTCAGCCTGAAAGCTCGCATATTCTGGAGCCATTGGCTCTTTCCAGCATATGACAGATGGATTGAAAAATAACAGTAATGAAAGGCTCCTAATCTGCAACCAAATGTCGCAGCCATTCTGGCTTCAGTGGTCTGTCACTGTTTCTCAGAAATGGGAAACAACATTTTAAGACTTCCTCATTTGGGCGGCGTTGACCACAAGTTGCCAAAGAGATGCCAGAATTGTTCCTGGCCTGCGAGCCTTCTAAGAGCGATTGGCACGCTCCCCAGGGATGTGGGACCCAGGAGCAAAGCGTAGGTTCCTGATTGCTGCGAGTGAGATCTCAGACCCAGGTGCAGGAAGGGGAAGTAAAACCTGGAGAAGTGGTGGCAATAGTAATAGTAATAGTAATAATAGTAACAATAATAATCCCAGCTCACACTTCTCTCTGCTGACCCTCTGCTCTCAACTCCTCAGGCCCACTAGTGTTACGGCAGTTTGGCCACGGAAAGTGCACCCGGACCTATCATGTCAAGTTTGGAGATCGCTCGCTAGTGCTGAAGAAGGAGCCCTCTGGCAGCGTGCGTCCCTCAGGCCCTACTGTCAGAAGGGAATACAGGTGAGAAGGAGCTAAGGAGCTGTGCTCTTCATGCCAGCTGAGCAGGGAGGACTTCTGTAGGAGATTCCCAAACAACCCATCCTAGGAACAGGGCTCTACACATCACACCCACAGTTCACACACCTGCCTCCCACGTTGTCCTTCCCTGCGTTTTGCACAGCTCCATATCCCAGTTTGCTGTGCCAGAGATCTCTGCCCCAGCAGCAGAGCAGCGGGACCCTTGTAGGGGAGCAGTTGTCACCTCCCCTTGGTTTTTCAGAGTGTGTTGGTCTTGGGGCTCCAGGCCATGCAAGGATTTCGGTGTGCTTCTTTCCCCTGCCCCCAGCCGTGCTATTTTAGGGTGTCTAAAACGGAGCATGGGGCTCTGGTTTGTATTGTGTGTCTGCCTAGCAACAATGCAGTTGTGGTACTGGTGCCCTAATGCCTTTCTGTGCTGACACGGCTCTCTGGCTCGCCCGGCAGGGTACTGAAGGCACTGTCTGAGGCTGGTGTTCCTGTTCCCACTGTACTTGCTCTCTGCGAGGACAGAAGGTAACCTGGTCCCTCAGCTTTCACTCTGTGCTTGACAACTTCAGCCAGACTCCTGCAAAGACGAGGAAAGGAGAGAAGGAGCCAGACCTCACAAAGTGCACTGGTCTGATTAGTGTTTGCCCAGTTTCAGGCTAGAGGAGCCTCTAGAAGTTCAAAGGACACTGACACTTTCATTTGGCTTGTTTAAGGTGTGTCCTTATTTTAGCAATTAATCAAAATGGTGACTGCTTTTGAAAAGCTGCTATAAAACAATGTTGCAGGTCTTCTGCTGGTTTCTCAGGTTTCCAGTAAGGAGGTGATTTTTCTAACTGCCAGTCCTCAGACTTGCCCCGAGATCTACAGCTGCGATAGCAGCAAGTCTGCAAGCAGGGCACCCTGTCTAGCCTGCAGTCAGCACAGCTGCGCTCACATCTCTGCTGGCTGCAGTAGTAAAGTCTCTGCACTGCAGCTAAATGTGCGTCCACCGTTCACAGTCTGACAGCTCAGCTTCAGAGCTTGCTGCAGGGGAGGCAGGGAGATGGGTGGTGCTGTATCCTGGCCCCAAGCTCAGCTTCCTGGGGCTGGAGGCAACGGGACTGATCGTGCCACAGCCATGTGCCACTGGCTGGCAGCCTGAGTTGGGCTTGAACCCAGACCACAGCTGGGTGTGAGCGCTCACAGAGCAGTGCCGTTGAGGCTGCTCTTCACCTTGCCATGCAGGTGAAGCTGCAGGTGAGATTTGAGGGGTGGTAGGTAGCAGGATTGACCTCAGACTTGCCGGTTCCACCTTGCTTCCCCAGCACCCTTGGCACACCTTTCTTCCTGATGGAGCACTGTGCTGGCCGTGTCTTCAGGGACGTCTCCCTCCCCATGCTGCAGCCCAGCCAGCGGCAGGCTGTTTATGCTGCCATGAGTCAAGTCCTCTCCAAGATCCACAGCGTGGACCTCAGCGCAGCCAAGCTGGAGAACCTTGGGGAGCATGGTGAGAGAAGGCTATGTATCCTCTATCACTGTTTCCTTCTCCTGTGTGGCAGCATTTCAAAGGATGGGCTCTGGTACAGGACTTGGGCCAAACACGGGGGCAGTTGGGAAAGCAAAGATGGGCAGCAGAGTTTCTGAATGCCCAGGCGTGGTGGAAGGGTGTGGAGAGCTGCTTCAGATCCTCCACTCTGTGTTTACTGCTAGTAGTGCCCAAAACTTCCTGCCATGAGCTAGAGCTGCACTGTGGGTGCAGGGGTAGCTTGTTTGCTGCCATCCCTGACCAAACTTCCTCAGCTCCTCCAGTTTCTCCACAGGGCTATCTCGGCTTCTTGGATCTGGTGAAGTTACGTTTTGGCCCAGGACCTAATTATTTCCACCAGAATGTCAAATCCAGTGCTCTACTAAGAATGTACGAGACCCTTGGAAATCACAGTTAAACTCTGGGAGCTTATCACAGGGTGCTACTCTGGGAGCTTATCACAGGGTGCTGGACTGAGATCTGCTTGGCTGTTTGACTTTTCCTGCCCGCACGTTTTATGCATCTCTTTTGAAGACTCTTTGTGCCTGTCCCTTTCCCTGAGAGCCTTCATTTCTCTGTTACAGGTAATTACATTCAGAGGCAAGTTGAGACCTGGACAAAGCAGTATCGAGCTGTGGCAACTCATGTTATCCCAGCCATGGAGAGACTCATCGAGTGGCTGCCTCTGCATTTTCCTGACTCGCAGAGGACGACAGTCGTGCATGGTGATTTCAGGTACTGCTTGGCTGGAGCACATCCCAGGCAGTGGAGAGGGAGAGAGCAGGTAAAGCAATAAGCAAACTCCAGAGAGCTGCTGAGTTGGGCTGGCGCAGCGGCTGCAGAGCAGTCTGAAAGCTGGGCTCTGAGTCACACTCAGCATCCCCCAGGTAGTGAGACCCAGAGGGCCACAAGCCCTTTGCATCTGTCACGAGAAACATACCCCGAGAGTTCTGACTGGTGCTGTCTTGCACCCAGAGCTCTCGTGTTTTCCCCCGTGTTTATCTGCCTGCTGATCCGTGGCAGTTTAAAGCAGTGCCTATTTGAGAGCAGGGAAACTGGGGCAGGAACTGAAAACCTGGACTCCTGCTGTCCAATTCCAATCTTGCTGCCTCAGTCAGTGTTTCAGAGTTTCTCTGCCCAACCACTGCAAACACTGGTCTTAACGCTGGGGGATCATCAGCCATTTGTGCAATGCTCAGAAATCAGACCTAGTGCGTGCTGCGACTGGCAGCTGGTGAGCTCTGCACCCTGGCACAAGGGCTGCCCTCTCTGTTTCCTCCTCAGCTGCTGCCCTCCCCTGGGGCTTGAACTGCTGCAGGTTGTACTTGTGTACTACACATAACGCACAGCACGTGCTAGCGCGGGGCCTGGAGTCACTGTGTGCCTCTGAAATGACCAGAAGATACCCCTGGCCAGAGACTTGCCTGCTTCGCTTTTTGGCCAGCCTGTCCTGTAACATCTGTTCATGATCCGAGAGCCTGAATAACTCCGTTTCGTTCTTCAAAGCACAGTTCAGTTCATCATTAACCAGGGAGTTTTGCTATTTGAGTAATCTCTGTCCTCCCTGACCTATGCTTGTAGAAATTAATGTTTCACTTACGCAGCCTCCCAAAGGACTCAGCAATTTTTGTACAGCGTGAAGGGCACTGGAAAGCACCTACTGCTGCTGAGTACTGGGATGTTTGCCCCCTCGTGGGACTTTTCTGATCTCTTTTTCCCTCTGATACAGGATGGACAACTTGGTCTTTCATCCAGACAGGCCAGAAGTCCTTGCTGTCCTTGGCTGGAAGCTTTCAACTCTAGGAGATCCCATCTCTGATTTGGCGAATAACTGTATGGCCTTCTTCCTGCCACCTCACTTCAATGCGCTGAGAGGTACAGAGAGGGGCAAAGTCACATTTGACTCAGAGAGAGAGCAACCAGAGTTCAGAAACAGATTAGTCCCTGCCCAGAGAGCTCAGCTGACAGTTGGGCTCATTGCTGTTGGAAAGAGCTGTGGGTCTCGTACTGTATTCCCTGATCTGCCCTTTCTCCCCTCCCTGAAGAACCCTCCATCCCTCCAGGACAGAAACATCTTTCTGCATGTGCAGTGATCATCGTGCCATTGTCACCCCATCCCCAGTTTGTCTTATATCTGCCACCCATTTGGTGAGACGATGCCCCGGTGCAAACTCCACTGTGTGCTCCCTGTCCTGGTTGGTACTGTCACCATGACCACACACATGGATCTTTGTCAGCAGTCACGTCAGGGATGGCCCCAGAGAGGAGGGCCCTGCTTCACAGCTTGCAAAACTGCATTTAAAGATTAGTTCGGATTATTTTCCCTCTCCCTTCAGCTGTAAAGCTGAGGAACTCTTTTGGGTGGGAAAGCTGTGAACCAGGCCAGCCCGGAGGGGTTTGTCCACAAAGTTACACGCTTGTTAAAAAGAACAACATATGGGTAAATGGAGAGGAAATCGCTCCATTGTTTAGGAGGAAGATCCATCAGTCACTGCTTTCACAATCTCACCCCAGTGAAGAAAACGGCCCCATATGCATTTCACCCCTGTGGGTTGGTGCCAAAGCCCTGTTGTTATGGACAGAAAGAGCACGGCAGCAGGGCAGGCGCTGGATGGGTGCAGGGCTCTCTGCTGCTCCACAGCTGCATGGCTCCAACACAAGCCTCGCGGCATCCCTAGAAAGCTCTGAGCTCCTCGCTGTCTGCTGCTTCACTCTTGCCTCTTCACGTCTTCCAGGCTTGTGGAAGCGTGATTTGGGGCACCTGGGAGTCCCCACGGCAGAGGAGTATTCCCAGATGTACTGTGACCACGTGGGAGTGGAGCGCCCTGAGAACTGGAATTTCTACATGGCCCTCGCCTTTTTCCGACTGGCTGCAGCGCTGCAGGGACTCTCCAAACGCTCTCTGGCAGGTGAGGAGCCCGACCACGCCGGTCCTGTTCTGCACAGGTCTCCAGTCAGAGCACGGATGGATGAGCACTGGTGTGGGGAGAGCTCCCACCGAACCCGGGGAGGTCAGACAGCGGCGCCGCAGGGTTTGGGCACTGCTGGCCGTGTGCCCCGAGAGTGCCGAAATTCCCAGCTGTAAAGCAGAGCGTGGCATTTCTGGCAGGCCTGTGCTTTCAGCACAGAGCTCCTGTGGGAAATCAGGGCTCAGAATAAGAGATCTTGTTTCACCTTTGTGTTTGGAGATGAATGAGTGACCTGGGAGTAATCGTGCAGCGAGTTACTGCTGCGTGTAGACAAGAGGGATGCGAACAGAGTGCCCTGGAAAGCACAGAGCTCCCTCCCTGCCCGCCACGGCACAGGCTCGGAGGGTGTGAGGCTGTTCTGACCTCTCAGGCAGACTGTGCTGTGTCATCAGGATGTGTCCTGCAGCCAAAAAAAAAGGGCCAAAGGGGAGCACACACAGAGCATTTCCCCGGCGGGTGCTTTTTGCTGGATGCAAAGTGTGTTCCTGTTCCTGCTCGCTGTTTGTGCTGGACGGAGGTTGCTGCGTGGTCACTTTTCTTTCATGGGAGAACTGAGCAGAGGCCGGAGTTCAGAGCTCAGAGCCGTGTCCTACAGGTGGAGCTCTCAGACCTTCAAGCTAAGCACCACCTTCAAAGAGAGACTCGAAAGCAGGGAGGTGGTGTGAACTCCCACTGCCGTTTATCTGCCTACGCCAGGTCTGGCCTGGGAGTCTTTATCAGAGAAAAACAAGATGTTATTTTCGTATTCCTTAGAGAGGAGTCTCCCCGAGTCCTGCAGGGCTGGCCCAGACAAGGACACATGGTGCTGTTTGGGATGGGACTGCATCATATGGGGCTCTTTCAAACAAAGGTCTCCTGTTCTTCTCTTGTCCCCAGGGAGGCCAGTCCCAGGTGAAGGCAGCCCGGAGGATGCAGAGTTTGTGGCCGACCTGGCTTGGGAGTTCGCCATAAAAGAAGGATTCCGTGTGTTTGACCGCCTCCCCGCCACAAAGCCTCCCCCACGACCTTCCAGCACCTGTGCCAGGCGAGGGCCATTCCTCAGCAGGAGCTATGGTACCTGGCCACGTCCTGGGGCAGCTCCTGAGCCCAAAGGCCCCCTGGTCACTCCCTTCGCCAGCCTGCTGGGGATGGCCTGGGGTCTTTGCTGCAAGCTGGAAAAGATCATGGGTGGCCAGTGGAGTCTTCTGATTTTCCAGACCGGATGGACTCCACGTCCTCTTCTAGAGCTTAAGGTGAGATATCTCCCTCCCTCAAGTAGCTTTGCTTTGCTGCCCCTACACCAGGGTGGGGGTCACAGCATGCCTCTGAGTGCCCTTGTTTTCCTGATCGCATGGGACACTTGGCAGTCCTAGAGCCCACTGGCTTGGAGAAGGGGGGCTGGCTTCCCGCTGCTGGCTGCATTCGAGCAACAGAGTTCATATTCTGGGAAACAGCAATTTCAGAGGCCGGCACGCCCTTCCAAACTGGGCAGATTACTGCCAGCCCAGCTGTAATCACTAGTGCAGCTCCACCGAGGTCCTGCCATCGATGCTGATGGAGTCCCCAGAGCTTGGCTGGGCTTGGGCTTTTCAGCACCTGCCAGTCCAGCGCTTGTTTGTTCCCTTTCCCTGGCAGGGGGAAGCCTTGCTGGTGCCTCAGTGTGGGGAAAGACTAGGTTAATTCTTTTTGTAGGAGTCCCTCCCAGAGCTTCCCTGGGAGGTCCCTCAGGTAGGGCAGGGAGCTGCTTGCACCTCCACAGCTTCATTTCCTCCTCCGTGTTTTCCTGTCCTCCTCTCCCTGGCAGGGACTGTCCCTGCAGACGTCCCCATCAGCAAACAGCCGCCTGCCCAATGATAAGCCGAGTGTGATGGGTAGTGCAGGCTCCGGGATGCCCGTTGGACTTTGGCTCTGCCACTGTCCTGGGCTCTCCTGCACAGAGAAGATGCTGCTGCAGCCCTGAGCTCTTGAAATGGAGAGACACTGGTCATTCCTGGTACAGTGGGGAGGAAGCAGAAACCAAAGCAACTTGCCCACAGTCATGTGGTGGGTACGTGGCAGAGATGGGAGTAACATTAGGTCTCAAACTGTAGAGTTTTAATCTTCCTTCTGCCAGTGCAAGTCAAGTCAATACGCAGGTGTCAGGACACCTGGGTGCCCTGCCCAGGCTCTGCAAACTCTGGTTTCTCTGTGCTTCCACTCCGTGGTGGTGCTGGTGGCCACGGTGTGGCTCGGCGTGCCCATGACGCTGGGCTGGCTGGTGCTGCAGACAGATTTGCTGGCAGTAGTGTCGTAAGTAATCATTCACAGAGCGTGTCATGAAAACAAACATCCCCAGCCTTGGGTTGCTACCGAGATTATGTTCTTAACGTACTCTAGTGACATTACGAAATTCTAGTGGGTTACTTAACCGTCTTTTAGCTGCCAAAAAAAATCCCATCTGTTGTTCAGCCCTTCAGAAGCATTTGCTTGTACTCCGGCAGAAGCCAGCAAACCCCAGCGTTTCAGGGTGTGTAGCAGCTGATCCCCTGAGAATGTGAAAAAGGAGGGGAAGCAGCAGCTCTGGGGAATCTGGAAGTTCTGAGATGAGCAGATCTCCTCACCTTTCTTCCAAACACTCATCTTCAGAGCTGGGAGAGAGTAACCAAGTCTCCAAACATCAGAACTGCCACACTCTCTCTACTCCATGCCTTGGGCTTGTGGTGGAGACACCACTCCTTGCCAGGGGGAGCAGAGAGCCCCTTCATCCCTGCCATCTCCCTGCCTTTTCCCTTGGCATTGTCCCTGCACTGCCAGCCTTGGCTGTGGAACTGCGTTGTGAAAGCCAGGGGAGGAGTCTTGCTGCCCGCAGCAGAAAGATAATGCAGTGGAGTGTTAAAGAGCCACACAGTCCTGGCCTGGGACTGGCGCGGCGCTCGTGAGCTGGGCCAAGGGAAAGGGCCAGCCTGCCTCTTCCCAGCTGGCACTGCAGGCATGGAGGTTTGTCCCAGTGAGTCTGGCAGTGAGGTGCCCTTGGCCAAACAGGGCAGCATCTCGGCCGATCCTGCCACATCCCGCACGGGGAGCCAGCAGACTTGGCACACTGGTCCCGAAGGCTGCCCGTCCCCACGGTTCTCCAGGGAGATCCTCTGCAGAGGAGCAGAGCAAAGCTCAGTTTCTCTTTCGGAGTGAGCATAAGGGCATCCGGCCAAAGCACTGGGCACACAGCTGCACTCCCAGCGTTGTGCCTGGGAGGGAGCCAGGACTGGCTATTGGAGGGGCCAGCACCAGGGTAGGGGGATGCAGGAGGATATCATGTGTCTCATCCTCTTCCATCAGGCAGAGAGTGGCAGGACCAAAGCAGAGGCTCTGATGATGACTTTACAGGCCGTGGATCAGGAGAGCCAGGTGAGCAGACACACGCACCTAACGTTTGACCCTTCTCTGACCCAAATAAAGCAAGACAGGGACACCTCCCTCCTGGGGCCTCCTCCATGCCAGGAAGGAGGGATTGCAGTCTGGGGCAATCACAAGGGGTGATTTGTCCTGCCTGTTGTGAGATCCCAGGGGAGGACCTTTCCCCAGCACTGAGTTCTCCGGGGCGTTTGGAAGGGGCTGGGGTGTTTGCTGCTGTCCTTCCCTGGTCTGAAGCCCCTGACTTGCCCTGCGTGGGCTTTGATCTCGCTCTCACACAGGTCTCTGAAGCAGAACATCTCAGCAGTGCAGACCCCAGCCTGGTGCTTCACTCGGACCTGAGATCCCCGTCTGACTGAAGGTCCTGCGTGGTTCACAGGACAGCGCTCTCCAGACCAGGGCCAAGCCACGAGCCGCAGCGCTGGGCAGCCTCGGATGTGAGATTAAACCAGCCAGTCTGGCGTGGGAGAGGTCGTGCGAACGGCAGACTGGGAGCTCCTGAATTTCAGTGGTGTTTGCTGTTACCTGTTTTCTGGGCTCAGTGCCTTTATTGCCAGAATCAGTAGGTACAGAGCAAAATCCATCCCTGGATCATGAGGCTGAAGACAGTCTTGAAGGGGGTCGAGAATGACTGGGCTAGGGATGCTGGATTTGGTTTTGGGAATAAGGAGAATGGAGCAGGGCATTTCTCATCCTTCGGCACAACATCTCCAGTCACCTGCAGACTCTAGAAGGACTCCAGTCAGTGATGGGGGGAACTGAATCAGGTCTTTGAGGACTCTGGCTTCAGGGGAGGCTCCAGAGCTGAGGCAGTGCCTGGCTGCTGGAGCTGGGGTGAACTGGGAGGACTCAATGGTCCTATGACAGCGGTGGATCTCTCTGGGTTTCTTTGGGGACCAGGGAGGATGCAGACTGGATCAATGGGGGCTTTCAGTGCCTCACAGAGACCAGCAGCAAGGGGAGAACTGTGGGAACAATCATGGTAATTCCTAAGCTCTTTATGAGTAGTCTAGCATTAATTCAACATTAAAATGATGGGCATGCTTCTTTGAGTTCTTCTCCAGCGTGGGCGCAGCCTCACAGCCCACTTTCACAAGGCCACGTCCATCTGCCCGGGGCCACCACCACATCCCTGCTCTCCGGAGCACAAGGGGTGCTGTGAGGGAGCCCTGGGGCAGCCCTGGCTGCTCAGCCCCAGGACCACAGGGCTGTAGGGAAGCCCCGTAACCTGAGCTTTGGTTTCTCCCAGGCTCCAGGGTGAAATTCCACCTCTCCCCCAGACACTTGGCTGTGCTGTGGAAGGGGGAGGGGGGCTGTATCTGAGCCTGTATCTGCCCAGCCCAGAGAGCTGGGATGATTTCCTAGCAGGCACCTGGCCTTTGCGCCTCCCACCATCTCATCTTTCAGGCAGGCTCGATCCCAGCCAGCTACTGCAGGGCTGAGACTTTGAGGTTGAGGGTTGAAGGTGTTTCCTCCTCTGCATGCAGTTTTAGTGCTGCTGGGTTTGCTGGGACCCCAGGGAAGGGTCCTGCTCGAGTGGAGCAAAAGCCGTGACACAGTGTCATCGGTTGTCTATCCAGGTACCAACAGAAGACACACACAGGACAGCACGTGGGAGCTTGGTGCTGAGCGAGGCTTGGCTGGAGCTGTGAGATGTGCCCTGTGGATACGCAGCCTGGCCTGCTCCCTCTGGGAGATGCACCGTGCACACAGGCACATCTCCACGGGTAAAACAGGTCTTTCTGTCGCCTCCTGGAAGTGGTTTAATGCAGGCAGGTCTGCAATAGGAGGGAGAACATGTTGGAACAAGTGGTCCTCATGAGTGCCACCTCCTAAAGGGCTGCCCGGGACCCGCTGTCTGGGACACAAAAGGGAATCAGTCACCCTTCAGGGGATATGGGCAGCCAAGATCTAGGAAACACACAGCCTAATCCGAATCCTGCTGGATAACCTCCTGCTGGATAACCTTGGGCAGGCGCTTTGCCTCTCTGGGCTTCATGGTTCATCCCCGCAGAACGAGGCTGATATTCCCCTCCAGAGTGAAATGCCTGGAGACCTGAGGGTGCAGGAACTACCACCATGCTACCACCGAGAATTTCAGCGACCTGGGTCTTCCAGGGCAGCGGGTTAAACTATTAATGAATTGACATATTCTACAATTTTTCTGGCCCCTTTGATAAACCAGAGCCATCCTTGCCCAGTTGCCTTTCACGGACCCCGCACGAAAGGAGCCTAAGAGGTGCTGTCAGGTACAGGGTAGAATCATGGAATGGTTTGGGTTGGAAGGGACCTCAAAGATCACCTAGTTCCAATCCCCCTGCCATGGGCAGGGACACCCTCCACTACACCAGGTTGCCCAAAGCCTTATCCAACATGGCCTTGAACACTTCCAGGGATGGGGCAGCCACAACTTCTCTGGGCAACCCGTTCCAGTATCTCACCACACTCTGAGTGAAAAATTTCTTCCTTATATCCAATCTAAATCTCCCCTCTTTCAGTTTAAATCCATTGCCCCTTGACCTATCACTACACACCCTTGTAAAAAGTCCCTCTCCAGCTTTCCTGTAGAGGGACTTGTAAACCTGTGGTAATTACCACAGGTTTACAGCGGAGGTTACAAACTCTTTGTGTTTTCAGTCTGTGGCTTCCTGAGCGATGCCGATGATAACTCGGGAACACCTCTGTTCCCTGCGCGTGAACCTGCACCAGCAGAAAAGGCCTTTAGCTTTTTTTGGGAGCGATTTTACAAAGCCTCTCATTCGCATGCCCCGAGTAGTGTCCCTGTTGTGAGAGCACTTTGCTGACTTTGTTCCACTTCCCCTACACACAGGAGTTTCTTTTTTGATTCCCGTGTGCATGCTCACGGCGGCATGTCCAGGTAACTGGGGGGTCCCCAACCGTTTACCACATCACACCATCTTCCTCGCAAGACCAACCAGCACAGCAGAGATGTTTCTGGTTTTCCTCTGCCTTTCTCCTCCGTGGTGCCTGCACAGAGTTCCCTGGGCACGGACAGGGACAAGGACAGTCAATGCCTGTGCCAGACACTGATGAGGCATCCCCGGTGCGCCATACCAAGAATGCGATCTGCACCAAGCTGGGCTGACCCAGCCTGAATGGGGCTGAGCTGAGCTGTGCCCAGCTGAGCCATGCCAAGCTGATCCGAACGGGACGTAGCTGAGCCGAGCTGAGCCAAACAGCGCTGCCCGAACCGAGCTGAACCGAGCCGATT